CACACACACACACACACACACACACACACACACACACACACACACACACACACACACACACAATACAAATATATAATATACAAAAATTCTGTGTGTCTCCTGGGGGCTAAGCCCCCCTTGTCCTTAAAAGCTAGTGACACCCCTGCGCAAAACGCAGCTTCACTGTATAGAAATGACTCGTACAGCAGTGGAATAACTGCTTATAATATTCATTATGTTCTATAAATATCACTCTAGTGTTACAAGAGTGAAGAGCCATAATAAAAACACAGAAATATAAAACTAAAATAACCTTACCTGTTTAGTAGCAGAGACAAACCGGCTGACTTTGCGGAGGTGTACGGCGTTAGAGCCACGGTTGTATCGCTCCTCAACGAAAAGCAGAGCCTTCCTTAATCCCGGGTCTGCCTCGTGCAGCCGGATAGGAGAGCCGGGAGGCCCGAACAGAGGCCGGTCCAGGTCTTCACCCAGCCCCAGCACCAAGCCCAGCACGGAGACCAGACTCAGCAGGATTAGTGGACCGCAGCGGACACGGACCTCCATCCTAAGCCTTGTATCAGACAGAAAAGGGCTGCTGTTCACACTGAGTTCAGTTAAAAACCTCCGTGTTTGTCTTCGTCGGGGAGAAAAAAAAATCGATATTAGCTGAACTGCGTTGGTTACACAAAGCAGTGTGTTGTTGTTGTTGCCAAACAAATGAAGCTGCAACTGGGAGGAGACAAGAAACATCCACTGGAGGGAGGAGGGGGGATTTAAAGAGAAACACACAATACTGACTCACCAGGACTGTAATAAGCAAGTCATAAACTATTCTCATAATAACAGCATGTAATTTGCACGTAAGTACATCTGTTATATAATAATAATAATAATAATAATAATAATAATAATAATAATTATTATTATTATTGAGCTATTTTAAAGGTCTTGGCGAATTATTTTAGGAAATATAGCAAGCTAAGCAAGTTTTAAAGTGTCATACACCCAAATAAACACTAGAGGGAGACAAACACAAACCTTTATTTTGAAAGAAACAGCTTGTTTAGTTTATATTTTATTAATTATTTGAAAAAGACATGCGGATTGGAGTTAGTCTAGTGTTTGGTTTATCTTCTCAAAACTTGTTAAATAAATCTTGGATTTAGAAACAGTCATTTTTACTTTGAAAGACCGTAACCGGAAGTCCTCTAGCACTACCGGAAGAAACATATTTTGATAACCGCTTACAGCTAAGCTAATCTTTTAACATTGCTGTCATATGGTTCTTAAAATATTTCCCCATTTCGCCAGTTTATCGGGTAAACAGTAATCCCAATTGGTTACCAGTTTACCCAGTGCGTGTTCAAAGTGTCGTCGTGAACGTTATGACTTATCTATTTTTAGAGCTCAGGCTGCATTCTTAGCATTAGCTTCTGTCGAAACAAGCAGACATGGAGACTCGGGGGATTGAAGACATGTTTGACTTTCGTCGGTAAGTCCGCAAAACTGAAGGTTGCTTCAGTCCAGCTCCGTGGTTAGCCACGGCTAACCTCGTGACGTTAACGGTTGTATTTGTTCACTAACAAATTAAACATTTAGTCTCCGTGTTAGCCAAGTTGTGTTACTGAAAAGTTATTGCGGCTTTTCCCGTTTTAAAACTTGTGTAACGCTAATTCCACGCAGTAGCGACTCACACTTAAGTTTACAAGTGTAGTACTCTTGAAAAAAAAATATGTACACCTACTACTACTACTACTACTACTACTACTACTACTAATAATAATAATAATAATAATAATAATAATAATAATAATTTAGGTAAGACGTATATTATTTACCGTTATTATGCGTAATGAAAATGATGTAAAAAAAAAAAAAAAAGGAAACTAATTTCAGAGTTCAGAGTTATGACACGTGTAACAACTTGTTGAAAGTGAAAGCTGATGAAATATATCCTGGGAAATTACTGACAATATTCTTCTTTATGCAGAAAAGCAATGTAAAACTTGAGAGCAGTAGTTTATAAACAGGTGATAATCTTAATTGTGAACTTGATTTTTATTAAAGGCAAGCTTTTTGCAACATTTAAATCACTTTTATATAAAAAGTTGCATATACAATAAAAAGGTTCACAATAAATCACAAACATCAACTGCATGTCATTAAATCTTTTGACATTCAGATGGACAACCTAAATCAGGGGTGTCAAAAGTGTGGCCCGGGGGCCGTTTGTGGCCCTTGACTTCAGTTCAAGAATTAAACTAATTTGTTTGCAGTAGGGGTGTCCCGATACCAGTTTTATCAAGACTGAGTACAAGTACGAGTACTTCAGTTTAGGTACTTGCCGATACCGATACCAAGTAGCGGGGTTCGTGTGGATTATCTGTTCATCTTGTTGAATATTAAACAGAATGAAAATGAAATGCAATTATCATGCAAAAACTGATGGTTAAGTATTATGTTTGACAATAAAAAGGTAGTGCAAACTCCGACAAGTAGATAAGTTGGTATATATATCACACCATAACTTTTGAAACATTTATTTTATTTCAAACAGGCTCTTTTTATAAGGCCACACTCCCTCTGAATGTATTAAAAATACAAATACTGCAAAACAAATGCTGTTGCATACATTAAAAAACAAA